GGAGAAAGATGTGGCAGTCTGCTTCTGTAAAGATTTACAGCCTTGGAAACCCTATGGGGCAGTTCTACTCTGTTCTATAGGGTTGCTATGAGTCAGAGTCAACTCGACAGCAATGGGTTTGGTTTGGGTTTGGTGTCTTTAAATAAAGTTCCCCTGGGTGGCTCAAGTGGTTTGAGATTGGCTGCTAACCTAAAGACCGGCAGGTCCAACCCACCCTGTGGTGCCATGGAAGAAAGTCTTAGCAATCTGCTTCTGTAAAGATTTAAAAAACAAAAACAAAACACCAAATCTGTTGTTGTTGAGTCTATTCCGACTCATTGCGACCCCATGTTTACAGAGTAGAACTGTTCCTTAGGGTTTTCTTGGCTGTGATCTTAATGAGAGAAGATCACCAGGCTTTTCTTCCGAGGTACCACTGCCTGGGTTTGAGCTGCCAACTTTTAGGTTAGTAGTTGAGTGCAAACCGTTTGCCAAGAAAATCCTATGGAGCCCTTCTGCTCTGTAACACATGGGATTGCCATGAGTTGGAATCAGCTCCATGGCAGTGGGTTTGGTTTTTGGTTTACCTTTAGATAGCATTTTATACCTCATATAAAATGCTTTCACATACTTTATCTCATTTATGTCTCCCAACAATCTTTTGAGGTAGTCATTGTTGAACTTATTTCACAAATGAGGAGATGATTTTCTCAGGATCATGGAGCTAGTTAGGGGCAGAACCAAGATCAAAATCTGTTTTCTGATACTTGGCACAGTGTTTTACCTCTGTGCCTAAGCTATGTAAGCAAAGATGTCAAGAAAAAAAAAGACACTAAAATTCTTTACTTGTTGGTAAGGCATAGTACTGATGAAGATAAGTGTGAGCTTTTCTCACACTAAATAAAAACAGTAATTCTGATCTCAAGGGAAAAAGGGAAAAAGCATTCCAAGGAATATCAGGTTGCTCAGGCCTCAAGACTGAGACAGAGAAAAACATTCCTAGGTATTTCTGCTCAGAGGAATGAAGGCCTTCTACAAAATCTTCTATTAGGCTTTTGAATAAATATGAAGAATAAATTCATGCCATATGTCACTTGAAGATAAACATCCCAAACTTACTTTGAATGGTTAGTAATTGCAAGTGAGCAATGGACGTTTACTGTGGGAAAATATTTCTATGCTGTTGATTTGTTAATCTGTAGTGTTGAAACATACCCAGCTACAGTTTTTACAGTACTCCCAAGGAATTAGCTTTTGAATGTTTTTCCTCCCCTAGAGCGATAGGGGCTCATTTCCACATTGCTTGCTTTGCCACATAATGGGTGGAATCATAAGCCTTGCTTTTGGAATGTCAGGCAGAAAACACTAAGTGGCTTGATCATGCTGACTCTGCATGTTTGTCTGTTTCATCGCTGCTTACGGTTCCACTGTGACTCTCTAAATCTTTCTCTTTTCCCAAACAAAAGGATGACACCCTTCCTCCCTACATACTATTTTAAGCTCGAAGAGTCTGAGTGAATTTAGAATTCTTCCATTGGCTAGTGCTGCAACATGGAAGAATCAAATCCTTTTCTGTTCATTTTGCTTTGAGTTTTCAGGATGCTGCTAGACTTTCAGATAAATGAAAGCTTCAACAGATTTGCACAATTATGTGCATCAGGTCATTTTAAGGCCAGGTCTACAATGACTTTACAAAATGCCTCAATTCTAGTCTCTGCTCTGTGGCTAGTTAGTTGTGTGACCTTGGGTTAGTCACTTAACCTCTCTAGGTCTAAATGTCTTTATTGGTGAAATTAGGGACTAGAGGGTTGGAATTCATTCTTTCAACACTGGTTTCCTATCACAGTCGAGGCACTGTGGCCCAGTATAAGTGCTAATGCTTATTGAGTAAATGGAATAAGGAAAACAAGGGTGAACCAGACAGGAAGCAAGGAACTTACAAATAAGTGGAGGGAGGGGGAGATACAGAAAATTTCAAAGTGCCCACTTTTTGGTTAGCAGATGAGCTCTTAACCACTACGCCACCAGGGTTCCAGCCATCATATGAAAGTATATATTCATTCAGAGTGTGACTTATTTATCTTTATATCATTTGATTCTACCTGGTCATAGCGTGATTTTTAGTTTGGGAGAAAAAAAGTATTACCATTTAAATAGTCAGAAAATAAACCAGCACATTATAACTTTTGGGGAAAGAAATGTAGATATGTCATGTACTTATAGAAATACCTGTAGCTGTAGAGTCAATTCTGACTCATCGTCCTGCAGGGTTTCCAAGGCTGTGATCTTAACGGAAGCAGACTGCCATATCTTTCTCCCATGGAGCAGCTGGTGGGTTCGTACTGCTGACCTTTTGGTTAGCAGCCAAGTTCTTAACCACTGCACCACCAGGGTTCCTCTACTTGTAGGACTAGAAGTATAGAATTTAATATCCAGAAAGGACATGGATGTGATCTAGTTCAATGGTCCTGGTTTACAGGTGAGAAAATCAAGGCTTAATTCCTATTAAGATCAGAAATAAGCTAAAGTTCCTGATATTATCATTACTATTCTGTATTGTTCTAGCTGCCCTTGTTAATATTCTTAGACTTGAAATTGAAATATCATTGAACAAAATAAAACATGAAACTTAAATAAAACTATTAGAAAGGAAGGGAAATGTATTATTTATAGACAATGTGATTATAGACCTAGAGAATCCAAAAGAATAATCTGTAAAACTCTTGGTATTAATAACAGAATTCAATTAAGTGTCTGATTATGTGAGAAATATAAAAAAAAATTACAATGAAAGCTTTCCTTTAGGCCAACAGTAATTTAAGAAACTATCCCATTAATAAAAAGACATGATGTCCAGGGATAAATCTATCAAGTTATAGTGTGGAACTATGTGGAAAACAAAGAAAAACAAAATAAAGCTAAAATTTTACTGACAGAAGTACTTTTAAAAATTGAGTTCATGAAAAGATGTATCTTTCTTCTTGAAACAGTATTTGAGTCTTATAAAATATCAGTTCTTTTAAATTGAGTTTAATATGTTGCTGTTGTTGCTGGGTGCCATTGAGTCAATTCTGACTCATAGCAACCCTAAAGGACAGAGTAGAACTGCCCCACAGGGTTTCCAAGGCTGTAATCTTTACAGGAACAGACTGCCACATCTTTCTTCCGTGGAGTGGCTGGTGAGTTTGAACTGCTGACCTTTTGGTTAGCCACTGTCTTAGTCATCTAGTACTGTTATAACAGAAATACCACAAGTGGATGGCTTTTAACAAAGAGGAGTTTATTCTCTCACTGTCCAGTAGGCTACAAGTCCAAATCCAGGGCATTAGTTCCAGGAGAGAGCTTTTTCTATCGGCTCTGGAGAAAGGTCCTTGTGATGCATCAGTCTTCCCTTGGTCCGGGAGCATCTCAGCATAGGAACCTCAGGTCCAAAGGACATGCTCTGCTCCTGACACTGCTTTCTTGGTGGTGTGAGGTTCCCATGTGTCTCTGCTCCCTTCTCTCTTTTATATCTCAAAAGAGATTGGCTTAAGACACTACCCAATCTTATATATCTCATCAGTATAACTGCCACTAATCCATTTTATTAGATCATAGTGACTGAATTTACAACACATAAGGAAATCACGTCAGATTACAAAATGGTACACAATTATATAATACTGGGAATCATGACCCAGCCAAGTCCAAAGATATTTTTGGGGGACACAATTCAATCCATGACAGCCACCAAGCATTTTAACCATGGCACCACCAGGGCTCCTTTGAGTTTAACATAGATCAAATCAAAGTCCCAAATAGATTTTATGAGGAAACTGATACATCGATTCTAAAGTTTATCTGGAGGAATACACAAGTGACAACAGCCGAGAAATGTTCAAAAAAGAGAATAAACGTGCTCTTGTCTTTTCCCATTCATTGCAGAGCTTTATAAAGCTACAATAATGTAGACAATAGATGCACTAAGTGACATAGCAGTGAACAAAACGAAAGCCCTACAAGACATAATAGTAAAATAACTTATGGACGCACACAAGAAGCATCCGCATTCAATGGGGGAAAGAGTTTAGGTTCAACGAATGTTGACGAAAACTTTGTTTGGAAAAATTGAAATTAGTCCCTTATATATACACCATGCTTCAAAAAATTCCAATTGTAATTTGTGTCACTGAGTTTTACATGTAAAAAATGTTGAAATAGCAAATGGTGTGTTATACATATTTTTACAACAATACAAAAAGGAAAAAAAATTACATGTAAAAAGATCAATAAAGAACTAGGGGAAAAATATAGACAGCTATATATGTAAGCAGCTGGTGAGTTCAAACTACCAAACTTTTGGTTAGCAGCCGAGTGCTTAACCACTGTGACACCAGGGCTCCTTAACCTTGGCATCAAAACCAAACTCAAACCCCTTGCCGTCGAGTTGGTTCCAACTCATAGCGACCCTGTAGGACAGAGTAGAGCTGCCCCATAAGGTTTCCAAGGAGTGGCTGGTGGATTCAAACTGCTGACCTTTTAGTTAGCAGCATAGGGAGGCCTATATAAGCAAAACTCCCAAATCAGAAACTCTAAAGGAAAAAAAAATTGATAGAGTTGATTGATTAGAAAGAGAAATCTTCTACATGTCAAAAATAAGACAAATGATAAATTGGGTAAATATTTGTATCATTTTTTGAAAAAAGCCAACAGCCTTTGTATATATAGAATCTTATAATCAGGAAGAAATACATTAATACCCTGAAAAGGGGGAAAAAAAAAGGAACACAATTAGATAATCCTGAAAACAAATACAGTTGGCCAATAAAATTTGAAAAGAATGTTCAACTCACTGATCAGAAAAGAAATGCAACCTAAAGCAATAATGAGATAACCATTTGAATTGGTATAATAATAAATGATGACTCTCAGTAACCTGATGGTAGAAGCTTAAATTATTATGACTTTTTTGGCAATCAATTTGGTATTATGTATGAAAAACATTGAAAGAGTTCATATCTTTGGCAAGAAAAATTCCGCTTCTAGAGTTGGGAGGTCATAAATTATCACCAGAACATGAGACAATGTTCATTTCCTGGTAAATGGGCAGATTAATATGACAACCTACCCCTGTTTACACTCAGTCTATTATGGTTTGATTAGAGCTTCGTAGAGATATTATTTTCTACCACTTTTGGAAAAGTGGAGCCATACCAGACAATGCACTGGACAGAAGGTTGTGAACAAAACATTTTTCTAGATGTTCTGACAAACATAAAGATGGTCCAACAAACATCTTTAATAATAGTTTTCCCTAAGATATAGGAGGAGATGCAAACTACTAGGCTACACAAGGAATCTCCACTAGGCCTGTTTAATGTAAATAGAGAGGCCTGGAACATTCCCTAAGGCTAAGGCTAACCTAGACTATTATTTCATGACGCTGCAAGGAGATGACTGAGAAAGGTTTATGAAAAGACTCTCTGTTAAGATGCTTCTGAAGATCAGTAGGGCCTAGGGACAGAGCATCCACTTTTCTTAAATTCTGACGACTTTGGCAGACTCCTTATTTTGGCAAAGCTGTGTGTGTTCTGAAATTGATGGAGTGTTTCTTTTTTCCATTTTAATGGATGACAGTGTGGAAATAATTCGTCTGGGACACAGTTATTTTATAAACTGGGATCGGAAGATGTATTACTCTGGGAAAGCAACGCCTGCTGAAGCTCGGACAACAACACTCAATGAGGAACTGGGCCAGATTGAATATGTTTTCTCTGACAAAACAGGCACCTTGACTCAAAACATCATGACTTTTAAAAAATGCTCCATCAATGGGAAGCTCTATGGTAAGGAAAGCAGTTCCTTTTTCTTAACAATATTGTTAACAATTCTTAAACAAGCAAACAACAAGAACAACAACAACAAAAAAAACCAAACTCTTGTTTTATGGAAAGCAACCCTCTCTATATTTTTTAATTAAAAAAAAAATGAAACCATCACTCACTTTCTTATTACCTTAGCACCATCAGCATCTAACACAGTGGCTGGCACATAATAAACACTCAGCAAATAATTGTTGGGTGAATGTTGAATCATTTAGATGAAACTTTGGATGTGTGACATTCATGAGTAGAGAAGGGTTCAATGTGATGCTCTCTGAGGCTCCCCCTGTGTGATACTGTTTTGTAGTGCCCAGTAGACCAGACCCCAAAGAGAACAAGTTCTTGATAGTCTGACTTATCTGCATAAAAACAACTTTCTTCCCGTCAGCTCTGGATTTGATGTTAGTGAATGTGTCTGTATGCTTGTGAGAATTTCATTCCCAAGAATTTACACTCCGCAGGGCCACGTGAGTGGCCAGACAAGCTCCATCATCCATATCCAGTTGCTATTTGCATGCCTGTGTCAGAATGTTGTTGTTGTTACGTGCTGTTGAATGGCTCCGTCTCATGGCAACCTGATGTATAACAGAATGTATAAAAATGTAAACATTCCCTGGTACTCCATCATCTTCATGATCCTTGATATATTTGAGCCCATTGTAGAGGTTTTTATATCAGTCCATCTCATTGAGGGTTTCCCTTGTTTTCACCGATCCTCTACTTACCAAACATGATGTCTTTTTCTAGCAATTAGTCTTTCCTGATGACATGTCCAAAGTAAACGATATGTCAGGATACGTGCTCTGTATTTGGGGTTTAAAGCATTATCTTTATAGGAGACCCTTGTCACCCTTACTTTGGCCAGCTAGCAAACACTTCCTCCACTGAGAGCATGAAGGCTCTGTGGAGGCCTTCTGTTGGGTTCCTCTGGATTCCCAGTCCTTCACCAGACCCTTAATGTCCAGTTTCTTAATACTGAATCTCAGGAAGTAGAGGAAATTCAAGAAAGAGGGAAACCTTTCTTTTCTTTCCTGATGGGAAGCCTCATACACTGGCAGATATTTTGAAGCAAGATTTAATGCTGGACAAAACTAAGAAATATAAGAAGTTGATTTTTGTGTACTCCTGCCTTTTGACCTCCTCTGCTACCCTAAACCCCATAATCCAGGGTCCCATGGTTTCCTCATTAATCTTCCATCCCTAGCTTCCTCTCCTGCCATCTGTGAGTGTGTTCCAGATGGTTTTTGACCTGGAACTTCCACAAGCCCACAGTTAAACTGTACATTTCTTGTATCAATATCATAATGACTCATACTTTCTTTCAAGTAAAGCCTTCCCTTTAAACATATTTTTTGGATATTATTTTCAGAGGCCTTTTAAAAATACCACCTTAACCCAAGGAGTAGTTTAAATGAGAAAATTTCAGACAGAATATTGGAGATATTTTGAATGCCAGGGACCTTTTAGATTATTCTGCCATGGTACATATTGATCACTTCTAGGAGTTGATCCTAAGGAAATAGACATCTGGGCCAAGATTTATTTATACAGATGTTTATCACTGGGAGGGGCCCTGATGGCACAGTGATTAAGAGCTCGGCTGCTAACCAAAATGTCAGCAATTCGAATCCACCAGCTGCTTCTTGGAAACCCTATGGGGGCAGTTCTACTCTGCCCTTTAGGATTGCTATGAGTCAGAATTGACGAAAGCAATGGGTCTAGTTTGGGTTTTTGGTATTTTTAGAGAAGGCCCTTGACTTTCACAATGTATGTATCCTAAGATCTTTGTAAATCTCCAAACATACAAATCTCATGTTAGTTTATAATTTCCCTTGTAAAAAACAGGGCAGTAACAAAAAGATTTAAGTAATCCTTTAGACCCTTAATTTGTTAAATACAAGACTTAAGTAGTTTGTAATACCATTAAAATACATCCTTACTAAATAAAACATTCTCAGAATGTTTCAGAATCACTTTTTCTTTTTTTCATCAAGTTGGACTCGCTTATAGCATAGATCTGGGCTTTGGGAAAATTTGACATTCTACTCTGATTTGGCATTCTACTCTACTTTCTAGCTCAGAATTATCACTTTCTTACACTTTTTTCATTCTTCTTCACTTCCATCACCAGCACTATAAATGGATTTTCTTTAGTGGGACATTTTACTAAAAGAAACAGAGCTTTTTTAAAAAATATATATTATTATTTTACTGGAGTTATTGCATTTGGGATAAAGAACAGAAAATAATCACAGTGGATATGAGATTTAATTTCCAGGTGTTGGGCTAGGTTCATTCACTAGCTCAGAGACTTCTCCCACATAGCTGCACATCATTCCAGATTCAGATCTCTGACCCTGCAAAACGACAAATGACTATTTGTCATGTGCTTTTGTGGTCATATCATTGTGTAGTGAAAAAAGAGACTTGTGATCAAAAACCCACTAAGCTGGCTTTTTTGGTTTTAGTTTAGTCGTGTCACTTTAAATTCTATGTTTTTTAGTTTCCTTATCCATAAAACCAGAATGAAAATCTTCATCTTTAAGTTTGTAAGGAATAGTGATAATGTAAGTTCCTGGCACATGGATGATGCCTGTAATTCTTATTATTACAAGAATTATAATCATTGCGATGGTTATTACAACTTTAAATGCCAAGCAAAAATTGGGGGGAGCACTAAAATGCTCCACAATAGTATAAAGCTAAAATAAATTATGCTTCATCTATAATCATGGGCTATTATACAGCTGTTCAAAATGAAATTCACAAAGAACTTTTAATGACAAAGGAAATGCTCACAGTGTTGGTGGTTAAAACAGCAGGAACCAGAAATTTATGAACAGTATGATGAATATATATTCATATCGACATCCACACACACACACACACACACACACATACACAAAATCAACCCCCCCCCAAGAAAACCCTATAAATACTGGTAGTCTCTAGGTGGTGGAACTATTAATAATTTTTACTTTCTACTGTAAATGTCCTATATTTAAAAAAAAAATCTATAATATGCCCATGTCAGCTTTACAGTAAGAACATTGGTGGTTATGTTCTCGGCTTGCAGGTAGCACTGACATCATTTACAGTTTATGAGCTAATTTGACCTTGACATTATGCAGATATGGCTAGCCCAAACCATGACCAGCAAAGATGTACTCTTCAAGTTCTAGCATTGACTAGAATTGGTCTGTTTAGGCTATCATTTTTGATTCCTCAACAGTGGGAATAGGAGGCAGGGCCAAGACGGCAGAGTAGTCAGATGCTTCCAGTGGACCCTCTTACAACAAAGACCCGAAAAAACAAGTGATTTGATTATATATAGCAATCTGGGAGCCCTGAAAAACAAAAGCAGAGTTGAGGAACTGGACTGAGTGGCAGGGGGAGGAAGAGATGGTTTGGAAGCAGCCAGGAGTTGCCAGACCTGACCCAGCGAGAGCCAGAGCCCTTCAGGCCTGATCAGCTTGGGTGAGCGGTGAGACAGGCAAGAGGCGGTCCTTGGGAGGCATATTCTGCACCAGGAGAGACCCAGCCCCTGAGAGTCTACTCTGCCATGCAGAACCAGTGAGAAGCATCCCTGGATCGGTGAAAGATAAGTACTTGCATACAGCCTACTGTGCCAATCAGAAACACCCCCCTTAGGGAAAAACCTCTCCCCCATTTACTTTCCTGCTCCCTGCTCTGCACTGGGTCCCAGACTGGCTTCAGCAATTGCCGAGTCCCCTGGGCTGGAAGTAGGATCCGTCATACACCTGGAACCATTCTCCCTGCCTTGAAGAGTGAACAAGTTAACTAACAGGGGAAAAAAATAAACTGCTGGCTCCCCTAAGCCAGGAACCCAGGGTAGCCATAGTTCTTTTGTCTAGGCACAGACATAAGGGATCCACAGACTTTGAGTACCTTTCCCCCTGCATAGACTTGTGTGGGCCCTTCTCAACAGCGTAGGCCCTCATTACTGCAATACAATAGGGTAGATACCGGAAACCTAACTTCAACTGTTTTAGCTGTGAAGTGGCAGGTTGTTGACATTTGACACTGCTCTGCCCATTAAGCAGGGTCTTCACCTATCCTCATCAGGGGCCTGAGGATGGGTGGCTCCACCTATGCCACCTAGCCACCTGCGATAGGGGCCCATGAATAAGAGGTGTGCCCCAGTCCTTACAGCCAACAGCATTATGTGATCATAGTCCAGCCGCAAAACCCACCCACCCACACACTCTAGGGAACAGGGACATGCCTACCTCCTAGACACTCAGGGGTGGCCATCAGCTCCCTGCCTTGTTCAGAGTGCATCCCCCTGCTGCAGCCAGATGCCTGTGCCTACACCAATCACCCATGCCTGTCTAGGACTATAAGTGAGAGCCTACACCACACACTTGGTGGCTATCTACCTGGGCACCTGAGCTGAATCCATACAGAAGGATTGGGCAGACTCCTGAGCTCACGTATCTAGTAACAGATCTAACCACCTGGTGACAGGACATTAGAGCTTCAAATGTGCCAATAATCAAACTAGCTCATACGAGCTGCCTATTTGGGCATATGAAAACAAAATGAGAAGCTAGGACACAGTAAGCAAACATAAAATAAATAAATATAATAACTTATTGATGGCTCAGAGACAACAGTCAATATCAAATCACATAAAGAGGAAGTCCATGATGGCTTCAGCAAGCTCCCAAAATAAAGAATCTAGAAATTTTCCTGAGGAGGAAAATTTCTTGGAATTACCGGAGGCAGAATACAAAAGATTAATATACAGAACTCTTCAAGAAATTAGGAAGGAAATTAAGAAAAACACAGAACATGCAATACAGGGAATTAAAAAGATTAGAGAAGAGCATAATGACAAATTTAACAGGCTGCAAGAATCCATAGAGAGACAGCAATCAGAAGTCCAGAAGATTAACAATAAAATTTCAGAATTAGACAACTCAGCAGAAAGTCATAGGAGC